CAAGATGCGCACACTGGCGCATGCAAGCCATCGGGGAAGGCCGCGTGGAGCAGCGACGGGGCAGGAATGAGCAGCGCGGAGCACGCGGGAGGAACGGCGGGCAGGAGGAACAGCGCAGGAGCGCGCGGCGGGATGTGGGGAGCGCGCGACATAGTTTCGGAGTGGCTGGAGGGGGTGATTCCCGAGCGGGAGGGGCGCGATCCTCGAGCGGGCGCGCGTGGGATGGGGGTTGAGGAGTTAGTCGCCGCGCGGGATCGGGTGCGATCCTCGAGCGGCAGGGGCGCGATCCTCGAGCGGGCGCGCGTGGAGTGAGCGGGCGGGGAGTTAGCCGCCGCGCGGGGGGGGGGGCGCGATCCTTGAGCTGGAGGGGCGCCATCCTCGAGCGCGCGCGCGTGGGGCATGGGGTTGGGAATTGACATCCATGCGGGAGGTGCAGAATCCGACGCCCAGGGCGGAGAAGCGCGATCCGCGAGCGGGTGCGTGTGGAATCGGGGGTATAGGAATTAGCCGCCATGCGGGAGGGGCAGAATCCGTGCGCGGGCACGCATGGGATATGGGGGTTCAGGAATTAGCCTCCCAGGGCGGACAGGAAGAGTTACTTAATCAGGAGGAACAGCGCAGGCGCGCGCGGCGGCCCTCGGGAGGAGCGCGCGACATCGTTTCGGAGTGTCTGGGGGGGGATTACCGAGTGGGATGGGCGCTATCATCGAGCGGGCACGCGTGGGATGGGGGTTTAAGAATCAGCCGCCATGCGGGATCGGGTCCTCGAGCGGCAGGGGCGCGGTCCTCGGGCGGGCGCGTGTGGAATGAGCGGGTTGGGAATTAGCCGCCGTGCGGGAGGGGCGCGATCCTTGAGCGGGAGGGGCGCGATTCTCGAGCGGGCACGCATGGGATAAAGGTTTTAGGAATTAGCCGCCACGCGGGAGGGGCAAGACTCGTGCGCGGGCGCGCATGGAATTGGCGTTTAGGAATTCGCCCCCCAGGGCGGAGGGGTGCAATCCTCGAGCGGGCGCGCGCGGGATAGGGGTTTTAGGAATTAGCCGCGCGGTGCTTCAGTGGGAAGCGCGCGATCCTCGAGCGGGCACTCATGGGATAAAGGGGGGGTAGGAATTAACCGCCGTGCGGGAGGGGACGTATCCGTGTGCGTGGGGTTTTAGAAATTAGCCCCTCCCCAGGGCGGACACCAACGGTGTTTTTTTGCGGAGCAAGGTTTTTTAGGGTTTAGGGTTCAGGGTCCACTCACCCAAATTTGAGGCCTGTTGGACGTGTCCCACCCACCCATGACCCAAAACATATTGATTTTAAAACGACGACGACGATACCGATGACACAGACGGCGATCTTGATCTCAAAACGACGACGGCGACGACAGTCGCGCAAAGTCTTCTGGGAAACCGCTGCAACGGCGATGCGGCACGCGCGCGCGACGACGCGGGCACTCCGAGGGCACGGATCTGCGTGAGAGGTGCGCCCTGCGATTTGCAAAAGCTCTCAGAACACCCTTCCTGGCAGTCTGGGGACAAGGATCCGCGTGAAAGGGTGTGCCAAAATGAGGGGGCGCATAAAGGGGGCGCATAAGGGCGGGCTAAGGCATTTCAGGGTTTCAGTCTTTATAGGCTCTTAGTTCTGAGGGTTTCGGGTTTGCAATTGTGGGGTTCTCGCCACTGTCCAGGCTGCTTCCACTCGGCTTTCCACCGTGGCGTAGCTGACTGTTCTGCACTCCTTGCCCGAGTTGTTTGAGTCTACCGACGGTTGGGTGCTCGTGATGCGGCCGTGCTCGGCAACTCGCCGTCCAGCAAATAGCGAGACATTCCGATGGGGGCTTCTGCTGGGGCTGCTGCTCTAGAATCGGCGACTCTGAGACAAGACAGGCACTTGCTGCTTACCTGGTCCCATCACTTTTTCCGTCGCTCTCGGGAGAGTGGCATGGGCTCTCTTTATCGCAACAGCTACGATATCAATCTGCTTCCTCTGTGCGGCGAAGGCGCCAGATAATATCGTTCAAGCATTTCGTTGACTTTGAAGTTGGGAAGCACGTGAACGACGCAGAAAAATGGGGTCGTTTGCGCGGACATTGGCGCATAAAGTGCCCGCGCAAGGTCGCGTGTGAGCTCACTCGTTTCCAGTGTGGCGTGCCGCGCCGGCGGCCCGCGTCAGCCGCAGCACCAGGCCGCGGCGCCATCTTGCGTAAGACAAGCTTCTGCTCGTCGCTTACATGTCCATGGTATGCTTTCACATGCACCCCCTCTGGCACTGTCTGCTTCAGTCATGCTGCAGATCACCGAGCGCCGCGCTGCCCCTTTGCGACGAGAGCAAGCCGCGCACTCGGAGCTGGGCCCCTGCCCGGCACCGCGGCGCGCGCTTGCCCCAACGTCCGTGCATGGGCGCTGGCGTGGGAACTACCTTGTCCGCAACTGAACGAAGCACGCGGGAGTCGGGAACAATCATAAGCATAAACGTTCGGGGTTCCGCGCAGATTTCTCGGATCGGTGCTGGAACCCCAGGGAGGGGTGTCCAGCGCCGATGCAAGAAATCCGCGCGGACCTCCAAGAGTTTCTCATGTTCTTGTTTGTTCCTCCAGGGTGGGCACCAGAATTCAGGCGCCGTGATTGTTTTCGTAGCGGGGGCCCCCAGAGGTATGTGCCGCTTCCCCCCAGGACGGGCTTGTTGCGCCGAGCTATTCCCTCGACGGCCCAGCGAGGGCCCCCCGGAGCCGAGAAAGGGCAAGCAAACATATTCCGCCGTGATGATATCCCACGACGAGAGAATTTCTGGTGAGGGGTGCTGCCTGGAAGTGCGGGGGGCTCCCTGGCAGGATGATGATGATGATGATGATGATGATGATGATGATGATGATGATGATGCTGATGATGATGATGATGATGATGATGATGATGATGATGATGATGATGATGATGATGATGATGATGATGATGATGATGATGATGATGATGATGATGATGATGATGATGATGATGATGATGATGATGATGATGATGATGATGATGATGATGATGATGATGATGATGATGATGATGATGATGATGATGATGATGATGATGATGATGATGATGATGATGATGATGATGATGAGATGATGATGATGATGATGCTGATGATGATGATGATGATGATGATGATGATGATGATGATGATGATGATGATGATGATGATGATGATGATGATGATGATGATGATGATGCTGCTGATGCTGATGATGATGATGATGATGATGATGATGATGATGATGATGCTGATGCTGATGATGCTGATGCTGATGATGATGATGATGAGGATGAGGAGGAGGAGGAGGAGGAGGAGGGGAGGACGAGGAGGAGGAGGAGGATGAGGAGGAGAGACGAAGAAGGACGGGGTGCTCCTCCTCCTCCCCTCCTCCTCCTCCTCGTCATCATCCTCCTTATCCTTCTCCTTTCTCCTCTCCTGCCTCCTCCTCCTGGTCTCTCCTCCTGGCTCCTCCTCGCCTCCTCCTCACCCCCTCCCGCTCCCCCTCCTCCTCCGTCTCCTCCTCCTCCTCTCCTTCTCCTCCCTCCTCCTCCTCTTCCTCCTCCCCCTCCTCCTCTTCCTTCCTTCTTCCTGCTGCTGCTGCTGCGGCCTCCTCCTCCTCCTCCTCCTCGTGCTCCTCCTCTTCTCCTTCCTCGTCATCCCCGTCATCCTCGTCCTCTTCGCCACCCTCCTCCTTTGTCATCCTTCTCTTCCTTCTCCACTTCCTCCGAGGGAGGAAGAGGGGTGCTGCCAGCGAGTGCAGAGGGGCCGCGCCGCGCCGCTCGCGAAGGGCGCAGGGACTCTGCGCGGGCGGCTCGAGGTCGAACGCCCCCTCGGGTGGGCGGCCCGCGTCGGGCCCCGTGGGCCCCGCGGGGTTGACACTCACGATGGTGTCGTCGGCCTCCTCTTCCTCCTGCTCCTGCTCCTCCTCCTCGTGAGACCCTCCTCCTGCGGTCTCTGGGGCCCTCCTCCTCCTCCTCCTCCTCCTCCTTTTCTCCTCCTCCTCCTGCTCCTTCTCCTTATCCACATCCACCTTTGAACGTTTCATGCGGTGTCAGAAGCTACGGCACACGGCGTCCCACGTCGACACCATAGGAACCAGCACATAGTGGCAGTACAGTGACATGCTGATGCATGCTTCGCCCCGAGGGACGAAAGGAGTCAAAAGTATGTACAATAGTGATCCAGTGTGCGTTCCAGTTTTCCGAGCTTCACTTTGCGGTTTCGCAATTTTGGTCATAGGGCTTCCCGGGTGTCAATCTATCCATGCTTCCAGGCCCTCCCGGTTCAGATTTTGCGTTTGTTTCGGAAACTGACGGCTTCATTTCAGCGGACATTTTGTTTATTGGGATCGGATCCACGCCCTACTGCTTCGGTGAGTCTGTGTGGTCAGTCCAAGCCATTCTTTCAGCGCGAATAGTGCCAGTTCGCTGTGTTAGCATTTCGGGTAGAGATATTCTAGCCAAGTTCTGGATTCTATGTCTTGACGATGGTTCAGTGTGAACGGGGACATGCTGGTGATTTTTGGCGAAATGATGCAAGGGACGCATGGGCCTAGTGATAATGATGATTTCTGATCAGTGGGTGCGCGATCCAGTGATTATGAGTGGGCGCGAAATTATCGGAAAAGACGGGGCGGCTGATACAGCAGGCTTGGCTTCCGTGTTCGGCGTGTGCGGGAGAGACGTGACGCGATCAAATACGCGCTCGGTTTTGTGAGTGCGTCTGATGGGGAGCCTTCTGCTGTCCAGAGTGGCGTGCACCAATTGCGTGGTGTGTTCACGCTATGCAGCTTCGCCTAGCACTGTATAGAACCTTCACGGGTTGGTGTCATGGGCTGCGCGTTTCAGAGATGAGGAGCGAAATAGCGACCGCACGGCAGCGAAGTAGCCACAGATGGCAGCAGGGCAGGCTGGGACAGTGAACCAGAGTGGAACATTCGTCTGGGCAGGCCAGAGACCTTGATTCCTTGCGCGGAGCCCCCGCTGCGAATTATAATGACGGAGGCGCCATTGTACCCTCGACTGCTGTATTCTTTTGTAATGAGCTCGTGCGGTCCTTTCATGATCTGCCCTCGTTGGACCGCCCATTTTGTTTTGACTTGGTGCTCTCTGGGGACACTCTTGGCATATCTTCCTGTTTGTCACAGTGTTGCCCATCATCCAGCGTTGCCAGGTTGCCTGTGCTGATTTGCTCAAACCTGTCTGCGTGGGCAGAGTTTATTCCCTCCTGCTCTGCCGACGATCTGTACCATCGGCCGCAGGCGTACAACACGCCCAATCACTATGTCGCCTCAAAGTCGTATTTCCCGTCGTGCTCTGGGACCTCTCACCACGGATCCTAAAGTTTCAGAGCTTGCCAGTTTCGTCAGTGACAGCATCATGGGGACCTCGGTATCATTTGGGCTGAAAGTAATGTAGATTTAGTAGCACACTTGTTTCCAGAGCAACGAGGACAGGCAGTAATTTGCAGCCGCATACATCCAGCAGCATTACTGCCTCCAGTGCAATTGGAACGGCAGTACCAGTCGCAGCAGCGCCAGCTTACCCAGCAGCATCGATGTTCCCAGTACTGTGGGAGCCAGCAGCACTATTTGCAGCAGCACCAGCCGGTCCTGGAGCACCGATGAGTCCAGTACGCTACGCATTAGCAGCACCGCTCGCCAGCACATCTGGAAACTCCACCGCAGTATGGCGGGAAGCGGTAGTGCCGCTCGTAGCATCAGCAGTGCACGCAGCAGCAGCACTGTCTCTGGTATGATCGGAAGCGTCACCCCGCTTGCAGCAGAATTACCGCATTCAGGAGCACCAGTGTGTCGAGTTCGACGTTTGACGGCAATTGACAGTACATCCTCCCATTCGGGGACTCCTGCTCAGGTCCCAGTGGGACGCGTCCGCACACCGTGCACCCGTCTATGATGCCAGCCGTGCGGTGGCCCTGGTGCCAGCATCGACATTTGTTGCCAGGGCATTGTGCGACATGTGCAAACAGTTAGTGCGCACGATGTGCAAGCTTCAATGGTTTGACTTTGCGTTGATCCGAGTATCTGTTCTCCCACGATGAAGCGGTGCAAGGGGCATTTTCTGCAGAGTATTGATGCAGGGGGTCGCTCGGAGAGGCTCGCTCTACGCTGCCTACTGCCTGCCTCTTCGGCCCACTGGCCCGCGAGCGGTTAGTTGCACCGTACCATTTCGAGGCGTTGTCGATCTTTCGACCCAGGTACGGTATGGTGCGTAGTTTTTGGGCCTGCAGGGCCCAATCACTACGGGGAGAAGCTGGACACATGTGATGCGGCCGGCCCGTGCGAGGCCTGGATACAGATGTGGGCGCATGCCTTTCTGGCGCTCGGCCCTTCTATGACCGTGCTTGCCTGTCCTTCGGGGGCGGCGAAGAGGGGGGTGATGACTAGGTGGGGATGGATACCATGGCGCGGGCCATGATATTTCCTCAGATCTCATGGCGCCTCGTCTTGTTTCATTACGTCCCCGCCTCCCCCCCCTGGGCCGCGCACATGCCGCCGGCCATGATTTGCGCCCCCCCCTCTTGGGCGCCCCCCTCTTGGCCGCCCCCGAGTCTCTGGCGCGTGGCCTCCAGGCGTTCCACACGTGACTCCAGCCGCGTGTGCCGAGACTGCTCCTATCGCGTGCCGAGAGGGGGTGCCGAAGCTTTGCTTGCTCCTGTTTTCTTTTGCACCCGTGCGGTCCTGTCAGGGACTGCTGCGCACTTCGCATGCTGCGACCGCAGCTTTCCTCTGTGAGCCGGCCCCGAAGCCTGAAGCGCAGGGATGCTCCCAAACAATCGCGTGCCACAGGGATTCCAAGCATGGTGCGGCGCGCCGGTGCCGTTTCAGGAGGGGGAAACACACACACAGACACAATGAATCGTCGATTCCCAGGAAAATATGGGAACATATGGACAATGGGGGGAAGGCGAAAATCCTGAAGATCTGGAAACATATGGTGAATCCTGGGATTTGTGTGCATTTAGTTGTGTGTCCCAGGGCCCCTCGACCGTTCTCGTGCACCCAGAACTCCGACGTCGTGTGCTTGTGCTCCGAAGGGTGGACCCTGGCCTCGTGTCCCGAGTCGATGTGTGACGGGCCCGGGGCCTTGCGAGGAGCCCCAGAGGCCGAGCACGACGAAGACCCTTCCGCTGAGCCTGCCACGAGTCGCGGAGAGGTCAGTCACCACCCACCAAGCAACCCCAACCCAACCCGAAAGCCTCAACTTGCCCTCCATTCCCAGTGGGTGGGGGGGGGGGTCGGGGAACATTGAAAAAACGCATGGAACCCGTCCCCCCCCCCAACCCGAAATTCGGGTCAAATTCGGGTCTTCGGGTTGGGCTGGGGTGGTCTGGTAGGTACTCGGCCAGGGGCTGGCGAGCGCGCGGCCCGCTCGGCAGGCAAAACAGTACCGTAACAACGAGCGCCGCAAGCTCTGCTGCGAGTTCATCGGGAGACGCCAGGGGCGCTCCCTCTCGGAGGCCTCCAAGTTGGCACCATCACCAACATCGGCGGTGTGCCTCCACCGAAGAGAGATGACCCCGACCTCGGTGTTGGCGGCCATATTCGGGCTTCCAGGTGGGCGAACTAGTACCGCCAGCACCGAGATCTGGGAGCATCTTCCCCTGTTGGAGGCACCCCACCTGTGTTGGTGTTGGTGTCCACCTTCAAGCCTCCGACTCTCGTCCCGCGGCGCGGCCCTCGGGAGGTGTGGCGCTCTGCTGCTGGGGGACCCGCGTCGGAGACTCCTGGTACGTTCGCGCCGGGCGCGGGGTCCTGGCTTCGCTCTCCGCCGCTCCTCCGTGCAGGAGGGGGAGGAGGAGGAGGAGGAGGAGGAGGAGGAGGAGGAGGAGGAGGAGAGGAGGAGGAGGAGAAGGAGGAGGAGGAGGAGGAGGAGGAGGAGGAGGAGGAGGGAGGAGGAGGGGGGGGAGCAGGAGGAGGAGGATGAGGATGAGGAAGAGGAGGAGGAGGAGGAGGAGGAGGAGGAGGAGGAGGAGGAGGAGGGAGGAGGAGGAGGATGAGGAGGAGGAGGGGGGGGGATGCGGATGAAGGAGGAATGAGACGGAGGAGGAGGCGGATGAGTAGGAGGAGGAAGAGGAGGAGGAAAAGGAGGATGAGGAGGACGAGGAGGCGCAAGAGGAGGAGGTGGAGATGGCGGAGGAGGATTTGGAGGCTGATGGGGAGGAGGGGGATGTATGGATGAAGGATGCGGAGGGAGGAAGGGAGGGACGGCGGGCGGGCGGAAGGGAGGGAGGGAGGGTGGGAGGGAGGGAGGGGGGAGGAGGAGACGGCGGACGAAGAGGAGGAGGAGGAGGAGGCGGAGGCGGAACAGGATGAGGAGTAGGATGAGGATGATGAGGAGGAGGGGAATGAGGAGTTGGACGAGGGGGAGGAGGAGGGTGAGGATGAGGAGGAGGCGGAGGAGGAGGAGGAGGAGGGGGAGAATGAAGAGGATAAGGAGCTGGAGGAGGACGAGCGGATGAGGAGGATGATGATGATGAATATGAGGGGGAGGGGGGGGTCCAAGAAACATACCAAGCAGACCACCAACAAGACGACTATTCATGCTACTAATACTAACTGTACGAAGAAGACGAATCATCCGAATCATACTAAGGGGACTGGGGCTAATACTACGAATGCTAAGGCTAATACTGCTACCACGACGAATCCTATCACTGCTACTACCAACAGTAATACTCATGATGCTGGTGTTACTAATGCTAGTACTAGCATGACTGACATGAATACGGCCGTTATTACTACTACCACTGGCACCACTACTAATACTGCTGCTGTTACTGCTACTGCTACTACTACCACTACTAATTCTTCTTCTTCTTCTACTACTACTACTACTACTGATACTACTACTTCAACTACTACTACTACTACTACTACTACTACTACTGCTGCTACTACTACTACTACTAAGGTTACTGTTACTATGACTAATACTACTACCACTGTCGCTAGTTGTTATACTACGAAGAATAACCCTAGTATTGGCAAACCAAGTGGTATTAGTACTACCAGCCATCATACGACTACTACGAATATCACCAACCATGAAACAGCGAATAGGGCTAACACTAAACATGCTGACGCTATTGATAATATTACTACTACTACTACTACTACTACTACTACTACTACTACTACTACTACTACTACTACTACTACTACTACTACTACTACTACTACTACTACTACTACTACTACTACTACTACTGCGAATCGTTCTACTGCCACTATCAGTAGTACTAACAATATCAGTAATACTAGCACTGATAAAACTGATCACAATAGTACTCGTACTCGCAAAGCGAGTCATATTCCTGCTACTCATTATGCTGTTCGTGCGATTAATACTTTTCAACGGTATCAATGCACCGAATACTACTAACAGCAATCGGAACACTAATACTAACCGTAATACCAATACAGACATTCAACACCATACCAATACTACAACTACTAATAAAACACTAATCATACATATACTACTATGAAGAGTAATCCGACTACTAATCTGAGCGCGAAGAATGCTAACACTTATAATACTGGACATAACATTACAATTGCGACTAATCAAGCTATCACGCAGTCCAAACAGAAGAAGAGGACTATTAAGAAACCGGATGTTAATCATCATACTGCTGCTAATCATAAGCTAGAAGACGAGGGGGAGCAAGAGGAAGAGGAGGAGGAGGAGGAGGTGGATGAGGAGGAGGAAGGGAAGGGATGAGAGGGACGGGGAGGAGGAGGATGAGGAGGAGGAGGAGGAAGAGGAGGAGGAGGAGGAGGAGGAGGAGGAGGAGCAGGAACAGTAGGGGGAGGAGGAGGAGGAGGAGAGGAGGAGGAGGGGAGGAGGAGGAGGAGGAGGGAGAGGAGGAGGAGGAGGAGGAGGAGAGCTGGAAGAGGAGGAGGGGGAGGAGGAGTGGTCGGAGGAGGAAGCGGAGGGGGAGGAGGAGGAGGAGGATGAGGAGGAGCAGTAGGAGGAGGAGAGGAGGAGGAGGAGGAGGAGAGGAGGAGGAGGAGGAGGAGGAGGAGGAGGAGGAGGAGGAGGAGGAGAGGAGGAGGAGGAGGGGAGGAGGAGGAGGAGGAGGAGGAGGAGGAGGAGGAGGACGACGGAAAGGACGAAGAGGACGAAGAGGACAAAGAGGAGGAGGAGGAGGACGACGAACATGACGAAGAGGATGAAAAGGACGAGGAGGAGGAGGGGGAGGTGGAGGAGGAGAAGGAGTGGGAGGAGGAGGAGGAGGAGGAGGAGGAGGAGGAGGAGGAGGAGGAGGACGAGGAGTACGAGGAGGAGGAGGAGGAGGAAGAGAAGGAGCAGGAAGAAGAGGAGGAGGAAGAGGAGGAGGTGGAGGAGGAGGAGAAGTGCCCGGATCTTTCAGGGTGGCTATGGGACGACTTCGGGGGGCCCCTCACACGAGGCCCTGCGGCCCTGGGGGCGTGCACGAATGGTGGAACAGCAGGGGGCACCCAGCCGGCCAAGACGGGAACTCGGCCAGAGCCGCCAAGGGTTTGATGACTCTGCTCATATCGACTTGCGGGGATCAGGCCAGGTAAATCGGGGTAAATCCAGGAAGAAATCTCCAGGCCAATATGGAGCAAGTCGCGGACGCTCCAGCGCGAGTCGTTGGACAGCAGGAGTCGTGAAGCCCTTAGAGACAGAGGACCCTTGCCCGAACCCCCTCGTGTACGCTACCCCTCTGGTACTGGGCGGGCAGCAAGAATCTGCCTGTGTTGGTGCGCTTCTGTCTTGCGTACTCTTCCTCCTCACTTAATGGTTACAGAGGTGGGCCAGAGTTGAGAGCGCACTGCTGCTGACGCTGTCCAATGGTGCCACTACTGCTAAACAGAGCCGGCACCCCGGGATTGTTCCCTACCTAGGCTCTGCCTAGAGGGTTCTTACTTTGTTCCCTACCTAGGCTCTGCCTAGAAGGGTTCTTACTCTCTTAGCTTAAAGGGGCCGGGCAGTGTAAAGCGCCCCGGGCGGTTCCCCCAGTCCCCGCCCCGCGGTTCCCCCCAGTCCCCTGGGAGCTTTAGCTTTAGCTTTAGCTTTAGCTCAGCTTTAGCTTAGCTTTAGCTTAGCTGTAGCTTAGCTTTAGCTTAGCGTTTCGCTTAGCTTTTCGCTTAGCGTTTAGCTTAGCTTTAGCTTAGCTTTAGCTTAGCTTTAGCTTAGCTTTAGCTTAGCTTGAGCTTAGTTTAGCTTAGCTTTAGCTTAGCTTTAGCTTAGCTTTAGCTTAGCTTTAGCTTAGCTTTAGCTTAGCTTTAGCTTATCTTTAGCTTAGCTGTAGCTTAGCTTTAGCTTAGCTGTTGCTCAGCTTTAGCTTAGCTTTAGCTTAGCTTTAGCTTAGCTTTAGCTTAGCTGTAGCTTAGCTTTAGCTCAGCTTTAGCTTAGCTTTAGCTTAGCTTTAGCTTAGCTGTGGCTTAGCTTTAGCTTAGCTTTAGCTTAGCTTTAGCTTAGCTTTAGCTTACCGTTACTGTTACTACTAATGCTGCTTTCCTAGTGGTTCCAACTCCTAGGTAGGGTCGCACTGGGATAATTTGCTTAAAGGGGCCGGGCAGTGTAAAACGCCCCGGGCGGTTCCCCCAGTCCCCGCCCCGCGGTTCCCCCAGTTGCGCCCCCCTGGGTTCACCCAGCTTAGCCTAACTTAGTTTAGCTAAGCTAAGCTAAGCTTAGCTTGGCTTAGCTTAGCTTTGCTTAACTTAGCTTATCTCATCTTAGCTTAGTGAAACTTAGCTTAGCTTAGCTTAGCTTTGCCTAGCCTAGCTTAGTTCAGCTTAGCTTAGCCTAGCTTAGCTTAGCTTATCTTAGCTTAGCTTAACTTAGCTTAGCTTATCTCATCTTCGCTTAGCTTGGCTCATCTTAGCTTAGCTTAGCTTAGCTTAGCTTGGCTTGGCTTGGCTTATCTTAGCTTAGCTTAGCCTAGCTTAGCTTAGCTTAGCTTAGCTTAACATAACTTAGCTTACCTTAGCTTAGCTTAGCGCAGCGCAGCAAAGCGCAGCGCAGCATTAGCACAGCATATCATAGCATACCATAGCCAAGCATAGCATATCATAGCATAGCTCAGCATAGCATAGCCTAGCACAGCATATCATAGCATTGCTTAGCATAGCACAGCGCAGCATAGCATAGCATAGCATAGCATAGCATAGCATATTGTTGCTTTCCTAGAGGCTCCAACTCCTAGGTAGGGCCGCACTGGGATAATTTCTACGAGCGTGGGGGAAGAGCCGACCATGGAAACGGACTGAACATTCTAGAACGTTTTCTCCAGAAGCTCTGCCAGCACAGCCTCCAGCACAATCTTCCCGGAAGCCCTGACGGAATTTTTGTGCCAGTTCTGCGCGCTTTGCCAGGTTCGCCCTGCAGATTTTTGGTAAGGTATTATTCTCAGGCCGGCTCAAGCATCTGACAAGATCTCAGCCAAATGTCCTGCCCGGCCAAACTCTCTGACGAGATTACCCGGTGGTGGAGATTGCCTCGGGACTTCCCGGGAACACTTCGGAGAGCGAAGATCGTCCTCGAGATCCCCCCGGCACCTTGGCGGGGGCGAGCGTTTCGCAGGACCCGTTCGCGGGTATATTGTAGGCGGCTCGAGGTTTCCAGGGAGGTCTGCCTCGGCGATTTTTGGGGCGGGGGCGGGCCAGGTGAGCGTGCGTGTGCGCGGCCAGGGGTTGGGCCGAGGGCCAGGGGCCGTGGTCAGGCCGCCCGCCCACACAAGGGTTCTGGGGTCCGGGCGGGGCCGAGGGAGATCAGCTGGGCGGTCGCCCGGGGCGGGCAGCTCCGCGCAGCTGCTCTCCCACCCGTCTCCTCGAGTGTGTGGCGCGCCCTCGCTTCCAGAGGGCAGCGCCTCCTGCAGCTTCCTTCCTCCCCTCTCTCCCTCCCCTGCTGCTGCCTTCTCGCGGCCTCCTCCTCGCCTTCCCTGCTCTCGCCTCCTGCCCCGTCTTCTCTGCCTGCCCGCGCTGCCGGCCGTGCAGCCGTCGCCGTCTTCCCGCGGCCCCGCGACGCGCTCCAGCGAGGGGGCGCCAAGCGCAGGCCCAGGGGGGGCCTCGACCGACAGCACCCCAGAGGCGGCTCCTGCTAACAGTGAATTATCTGCGCCGCCGCCAGATGAGATTGTTGAGCTCCGTGGGCACCGTGTTTTGGTGACCCAAGGGGCCATGGTGTGCACCCTGTGCGGCTCATATCAAGTGTGTACTAAGGCTGCCAAATGGAATCTTGTCGAGGCCTGTTTAGGCCCCGCAGAGGACAAGCTTGCCAGAGCCAGGCAAGGATCTAAGATCGATGCCATAAAGGCTGGCAAGCATCCCAAGACGGGTAAGCAACTCGTATAGTTTTGTGTGCCCTTGCTGGGCCCATATGCTGGCCGGTGCGCCTGGTCCAGTTGCACGACAGGTCATCGGCGTTGTCCTCTTCCTCCTCCTCTTCCTCCTCCTCCTCGTGGGCGGTGCGGCGCTGTACGCAGACCCAGGGAGACCTCGCCCTCCAAGGTGCTGCCATGTATGCAACTAGCTAGCCTCGTCTTCCTGCGCCACTTGGGGGGTCCAGCGGAGTGGTGCCATACGCAGACCCGGCTTGGCGTCGCCCTTCCTGTGTGTCATAGAAACTGCGCTTCTTTCTTGCACTTCTGGGTGGTCCAGCGGAGTGGTGCCATATGCAGGTCTACCCTGGGGGCAGTCAAACGTCATCAAAGGTTTGCTGGCAGATGTCCTTCGGATTTCCTTGATGGCGGAGATTTCTTGGGTAAAGGTTTCTGTGGTCGGGCGGAGATTTTCTGGCGGATGTCGTTGGGCAACTTCCACCGATGAGATTTCTTGGACGGTTGTGGCGGGCTGCTGAACATAATCCCAGCGGCAATCTAGCTCTTTGGAGATTTCCTGCAGGTTAGCTGGCGTTGGACTTTGCTGACTGGTGATTCGGAAGCGACGCCTCTTCCATAAGCCGCTCGGTTTAATTCTGGGCGCGAGGTAAGTCGCAGCTAAACGAAAAAGAGAGAGAGAGAGAGAGAAAGAAAGAGAGAGAGAGAGTCTATTTGAGCCAGGACGTTCCTGCTCGTGTTCACGGTGGGGTGCAACGTTCTGGGCCGCGCTATCTCTCTCTTTGATGCTTCCTTTGCTGTTTCGACTAGTGCAAGCCTGGGCGAGGCGTGCGGGAGGTGAACGGAGGCTGTGCTGTCCGTAGATCTACCCCCGTTCTGGCGAGGAACTCCACCGTCACACATTAAGCACCATGTATGCCATATGTATGTATGCTTGCAGATATGTGTGTGTATATGTATGCATGCATGTATATATATGTGTATATGTAGGACTAAATGCATGTCTCGTTGTAAATATGTAGATATGTATGCATGTATGCATACATGTAGGTAGGCATGTATGTATGTATGCATGTGTGTATACAGGTATTTAGGTAGTCGTGTATGCATGTATGAATGTAGGTGTGTGTATGTATGCATGCATGTCTGCGCACGTGCATGTGTGTATGTATGTATGTAGGTAGATATGCAGGTGTGTGCACGTACGTATGTATGGGAATACGTATGTATAGGTGTATGTATGCATGCATGCATGTATGCATTTACATGAATGTATTTATGTATGTATGTAAATATGAATGTATGCAGTGTATGTATGTAAGTCTGTATGTATGCATGTATGTATGTATGCATGTATGTATGTATGTATGTATGTATGTACGTATGTGTGCCAGTACGTATGTGTGCATACATCTATGTATGTATGTATGTATGCATGTATGCATGTATCGATGAATGTATCTATATATGCATTCATGCGTGTAAGTATGCAGGTATGTATGCATGTAGGTGTGTGTTTATATATGCATGCACGCATGCACGCATGTATACATATATATATATATATATATATGCATGCATCTATGCACGCATCTATGTATGTAGTATGCATGTACGCATGCTTGCATGCATGCATGCATGCATGCACGCATGCATGCATGCATGCATGCATGTATGTGCACGTGTATGGATGTGTGTATATCTGTATGTATGATTATATGAATGCATGCATCCATGTATGAATGTGTATATGGATGCATGCATGTGTGTATTATGTATGCATGTGTGTATGTATGTATATCTGTATCTATGTATGCATGCATGCATGCATGTATGTATGTATGTATGTATGCATACATGCATGCATGCATGCATGTACGGTTTTTCGGGTGCTGGGTTCACCGCCTGATGTTTCGCCGGGCCGCCATGTGTCTCGTGGATTATCTTTACGCGTGGCTTCACGTGCCAGGGGTAGACCCCGTAACGTGGCGAAGGCTGCCGAACGCGGTGCTGGACGAGCTGATTGGACCAGTCCTCCCGTTCCCGTTGTTCAGAAGCTCGCTTGATTCAACGGTGGCCGAGCAGGTCTTCGCCCAGGGCGCCGCCCTGTTCGTCGGCGGGGTCGCTGCGGCGCCTCTCAACGTGGAGGAGGCGGTCTGGCTTTAGGCACGAGCTCCTCGGTGGACAGGCGCGGTGGCGCTCATGCCATTTGGGCCCCCAGTTCCCGACGGGCCTCTTGAGGTCCTGGGTGGAGGGGTGCGTGGCGATTCCCTTTTGCATTCCTGGATCGGGTCCTAGAAGTTTACCACCCTTCTCAGCCATAGGTTCTCGGGGCGGCGCCATGCCAGCGCCTGGGGGCCGTTGCCCTCGAATCGCCGGTCAAGCGGGCGGGCAAGGGCCCGAGCATGCGTGGTAAGCGCATCCCAGTGCTCATAGACTCGCAGGTTGTACATAGCGCTGCTGTCCGAGGACGATCGCCTGGCAGGATCATGGACAGGATCTTTGCCATGACCCTCCCGTTTTTGCTGTTCGAAGGGTGTTCCCTCCTCTCCTTCTGGGTGCGAGGTGCCCGCGATCCTGCGGATGATCCGACGAGAGGTGCTGAGATGCGTGAGGCGAGATCGCGTCCTCCCGAGGTGTCGGAGTCCATCCCCGCCGTCGAAAAGCTATGGGGCTGGGTCGTACTCGTGTGTCGTTCAGTCCTTGGACGACGACCGCTCTCCTGCGACGCCTTCAGCGGGCCGAAGGCCCCGCTGAGTGCGGCCCTCTAGCGCCGCGGGTGGCGACGTGCAGCGCGGACTTCTCGAGGGCCGCACCGACCCCAGCGTGCTCGCCCAGGATATCGAGTTTATTGCGATGTTTAGGTGGCTTGCGGCCGCTCTGGGGCCGCCCTGCAGGACCTTCTCGCGCTTCGTGAGCTTGTGCTCGCGGTCTTCCCGGACGCGCCAGCGGCCGTGGGGGCTGCGGCAACGCTCCCAAAACAATTAGTTGCAACGAGTGCGTGGGGGCTGGGCTGGATCTCGTGAAGGCCCTCGACCGCGCAGGCGCCCTGTGGGCGTGGGGGCAGTTTCAGCGATCTCTTCAGCGGGCGCTCCTGGAGTTCCAAGGGGCCCTCAGCGCGGGTCCGCGCTGCGAGCGCGCCGTGGACTGGCGCGCGTGGGGCAGGCGATGGATGGGGCCCACCGCCGGGAAGGGGCGGTGGACGTTCCTGCCCCTGCTGGCGAGGCGGTGCGACCGCATCCACCAGCCCCCTCGTCCTGGAGAATAGCATTATGAGCGACGACGGCGTCTGGCGGCGCCAGACGGAGGTGGCAGCAGAGTACTCCAGCGAGTGGTGCGAGGCGGTGGCCGAGCACCTCGACGCATTCTGCCGCTCGCCTCATTGCCGATGCTCCTGGGGGTCTTCTGCGGCTGGCTGGGTTTCCAGGGGAGGGCCCTCCCGCGCGCCAGGGCGCGCTCTCGCGACGGGCAACCTCGCGGGCCGGGTGGGGCCTCCGAGTGACCGTCCAGCCGTCTACGGCTCGTCGGTGCATCATCATGCTCGACAAGTGGGGCCTGTGGCTCCAAAGTCGAGGCCTGCCCCGCCCCGGCGACGTCGCACGTGACATCGAACTGCTCAACGCCGCCCTCGCTGCATGAACCCAGTACCTCTACGATACAATATGCTTGGGGATCCGAGACCCTTGTTGGCGTCCAGTTCCCCTGGCCCCAGCCCCCCGCGGCCAATTGCGCCTGGCTTGGGCCGCGGTGGCTCGCTGGCGCAATTTGGAGCCGGTCGAAACGTTCGCGCCCATGCCTGTCGAAATGCTGTTGGCCTTGGCCGTGGCTGCTCAGGCGCAGGTATGGGACAGGACGGCAGCGCGCTTGCTCCCCGCCCTACACTCGCTGTTGCGGCCCAGCGAGGTCGCGAACGCATTCGGGCAGCATCTCGTCTTTCTGGGGGGCCGTGGGCGATATCAGCGCAGGCGTGCTCGTGGTTCTCTCTGCTACAACATCAGACCGAGGGCCAAAGTTCCAGAGCGCCCTGATCGACGATCCTACGCTGCTGAACTTAATCGGGCGCGTCATTGGCCCCCTCTCCCCGACGTCAGCGTCGCGCCCGGGACAGCTGCGCGGGCTGGCAGAGGTTCATCTACCTCAGAAGGCTTCGCCGGCATCAGCGACTCGCCGTGCACCCTTCGGTTGCTGCGAGGAGGCGTGCTCATCCATCGCTCCCGCTTGTTTCAGGACCTGGGGCCTGCTGCAATGCCGTAGGCGCTGGGAGAAGGTAAATTCTATGCGTCGCCATCTCCAGACGGACGCGGCCGCCCCGTCCTTCGCCCACATGGCGCCGACAGCCGACAACGTTTCCAGCATCTTGCTCAACTCGCTCCAGATGCACGGGGCAGCGGTTGACTGTGCCACCGCGGGGGGCAAGACGCACATCAGGCACGTTGCAATGACGGTAATGTTGGAACAGGTTGAACGCTTTCTGTTTTTTGGGGCACTGTGAGGCCGCGCGGCAGATGCGACGCCGCAGCGCCCCGACGCCCCTGGCCGCCCGTTGTCCAGCTTTTCCTCGCGATCTTCACACATGGGTGCTATGGACAATGAGCGTTCAAGGTCATGTGAGCACAGTGGCTATGATAATAGAGGGAAGCGGTTCGCAGCTGTCTCGCACTTCCCCTCCACCTTTGCGAACAGCTGTTGAACTGGTTGAGAGCCCTCTGGCGGTGTAGGCAACGCTGCAGCGCCACGACGCCCCTGGCTGCCCTTCGGCCAGCTTTTCCTCGCAAGCTTCACGCGTGGGGTGCTTTCGAAAACGAACGTCGGACATCATCATGATGACGATGATGATGATGCTGGTGTAAGTGTTGACGATGCAGGTCCAGATGAAGATGAGGATGCGTATGCCTATGCTGATGATTCTGATGATGATCCTGACTATGATGGTGATTGCGGTTGTGGCGATGATGCTAAGGATGCTGGTGTTGATGCGGGTGCTGATGCTGATGTTGCTGTTGCCGTTGAGGGTGATGGTGGCGACGATGATGGTGATGCTGGTGATGAGGAGGATTCTGGTGATGTGGACTACGATTACGTTTCTGGTGCTGAGGAGGATCATGCGGATGATAAACGTGATGGTGGTGCTGATGTTGATGCTGGTGTTGTTGCCGGTGGCTGATGATGGCGATGGTAATGATACGGGTGACGGTGATTCTGACGACGACGACAACGATGCTGTTGAACTTAATACTGGGGGTGGTGGTACATATGGTGGTTGAGATGACGACGAAGACGACGATGCTGGTGGTGGTATTGAGGATGACGCTGGTGATGGTGATGGCGACGCAGCGTCTCTGATGGTGGTGATTGTGGTGATAATTGTGATGATGATGATGATGCTGATGAAACGTGTTATGAGCATGGTGATGCTGATAAAGTAGGTGAGGAGGATGATGGTGCTGATGCTGTTGATGATGACGGTGCTGCTGATGATGATGATGGGGATGGTGATGATCATGATGATGCCAACGAGTTTTTTTCGGATGATGCTGATGTTGCGGATGAATATGATCAGGATGATGAGCGTGATGGAGGTGATGCTGTTGATGATGGGAATGATGGAGAGGGAGACGGGCAGGAGGAGGATGACGGGGAATCTGAATCGGAGGAGGAGGAGGATGAGGAGGAGGAGGAAGAGGAGGACGATAAGCAGGAGGAGGAGGGAAAGATAGAGCGAGAGGAGGATCAGGAGGATGATGCTGATGAGAAAAAGGAGGTG